GAGATACGTATCTCACTATATGCTGAGAATCTAAAGAAGAATTATTAGTTATGTTTTTATCAATTTCAAAGTTATCAGTATCATAATCATGAAATATGGTTAAGTTTGGGTTAAAATGAACATTTTTCGATTCTGCTTCCCACTGGCATATTTTGATTTGGTTCTTATGCCGTGTCCAAATGTTTCCTTCTTCCAGTTCAGACAAGAATGTTGCTTTTCCAGTCTTCTTTATTAGTTTGGCCTTGGTCCAGGCAATCTTATTTGGATTTCTATATTCTTTCACTAATACCATGTCTCCTACTTTTAATCCTCTTTCCTTCCCTCCTTTGACGTTCCTGAGCCTTTCTTAAGTTTTCTATTGCACTTTTATCTGCTGTATCCAGAATGTTGTCACTTTTTCGCATGCTAGAAAGTCTCGTTCTCAATTCTCTTTTGTACATCAAACTAGCTGGTGATGCTTTTGTTGAGCAATGCTCCGTCGTTCGATAAGTGAACAATATTCTTGATATTAGAGTTGATAATGATTGATTTTTGCTTTCTGGATCTTTAAGGGCTGTGTTGAGTTAAGTTTTAAAATTTTTAACTGCATTTTCAGCGGCTCCATTACTTTGCTGATGACCAGGAGGTGATTTCAAGTGCTTGATGCCATTCAGTCTACAAAATTGTTGCATCTTTGCTGACACCAAATTAGGTCCATTGTCGCTCACCATGGTACTTGGTATGCCAAATCTGGAAAATGTCTCTCTCAATTTTTCAATGACGTCATCGGTGGTGACTTTAGTCATCGGATATACTTCCAACCATTTCGTGTAAGCATCTACAATTATTAAAAAATTATGCTTTACCATTGGACTACAAAGATCTATGTGGATTCTATTAAATGGTCGATTTTCTACAGGCCATAGTGTCAAAGGGCTTTTTGGTGGTGCCTGTACGGTTACTCTGCATGGCACACAGCTTTTCGTGATTTCTTCGATATCTTTATCTAACGTTTCCCAGTATACAAAGGATTTGGCTGTAGCTTTCATCTTTACAATTCCATTATGTCCTTCGTGCAACATTTCCAGAACTTTCCTACGTAGCTTGCTTGGAATCACTATTCTCAGGCCCCACATTAAAATGTCATTTTCTATAAATAATTCATAACCGTTCCGAGAACTAATTCTGCGATATAAGTTTTTTTTTCCTCTTATTTTTTTTATTTTTTTTTTTAGATTTTCAAACCTTACTTTTCATATATACCTTTTTTTTAAATTACTCAGTTAGTTATTGAGTTTCAATAACCTTTTTGCATTTAAATTTAACTGTTCATGACTATAGTATTGCATTTCAGTATTTGTTAGTTAACGCTTCATGACAAGGTCATTTTATTAATTGCTAATTTACTTGATTATTATTTTTTCTTAAATTCAAATTATTGTTCGTTGTGGACTGCGGCCATTTGGTGAATAAACAACTGTAGCACTTGATTTCTTGACTTTTATTTGGTTTTATGCACACAGCCTGTTTTTGCTAATATTTTTCTTTTTATTAATCATTATTTGAATTGTAAGGACCTGAAGCCAGATACCATCCTGGAGAGTCCGACTCATCTGTTCAGAGTCGGTGGCGCCCAAAACTAAAACCCACCCCTACTCTCCGAATTGTTTAGTTCTGAGCTAGGGCATAATTTGCACGCACTTCGACCTTCAGTCTTACAATCTCAAGTTCTCCATTCATTTTTTTTTTTTTTTTTTTTATTTTCATTATTTTTATTTTTTTTTATTTTCGACTTTAATTTTTTTTTAAATTTATTTTTCTAAATTTTTTTTTTTAATAAACTTTTCTTAATCAGCGAAAAAGCGTGGCATCTTGTTTCTAGACCTCACAAAAAACATTTCCATTAAGTCGTTTTTGTAATGGAAGTAATAATTTCACTTTAGTTATAGGGGCAAATTAGCCCGTTATCCATAATGGTAGGTATTAAACAGCTAGATTAGGTGGACGATATCCAAAAAAAATACAGTTTTTTTTTAACTATCCCTTCAGCCATCTACATTAAAAATGGGATAGCTCCGTACACGTTTATACCAACATTTTCTCTTAAAATATACTTGATACCCCCTGAAGCTACTAACTTGATAAAATATTTTTGCATTTGATAAAAATAAGCTATAACATGGAATTCGCCTTCAATATCGCCATTGTTTTGGATATTTACCGCAATAATTTTGAGTTAATTCAATTATTCCAAATCCGAACTTGGGGCCTTATTCTGTATAAGAACGAACCGTTCGATTCGGTAGAATTTCTTCGATTGTGACGTCATTTTTGGTTTGGTTTTCGCGCTACCAAACCAAAAATGACGTCACAATCGAAGAAATTTTACCGAATCGAACGGTTCGTTTCTTACAGAATAAGGCCCCTGTGTTCGAACGTCGCGTTGACTGCGTATCGATACAATCAGCTGAGAATACGCAAGCATGCGCACATTGGGATGGAATCGATTCGAATATGCAATGAAAAAATGATGATAGGGAAAATCTGACGCCAGTTGGAGTTCTAGAAAACTTAGCAAAAATGTGATCTTGCTTGACACCACATAATAATTTTAAGCAATAATCAGGTAACTGCTTAAGGGTAATGCCTTCAATCCTTCCCCCCCTTTTTTTAAAATAAATTAGGGTTCCAATATGTTAGTCCTTCGCAATCAATGTGTGGTTCAGTCCCTTTTACAATGTTACTATTTACATTTTATGTTTATATGACTTTAATTATTGTCCGTTCAGTGGTTCCTGTGCACTTCAACTGAAAAGTGAGTAAGTACAACCTTTTCCTCTCAAATTTGGTTCCTTGCTGCTTCTACCGTATAATACAACTACCGTTTCACGGGACAGAACTTTCTTCAACGGGCTTCTTGTTCTACCTTTCCAGTTAGCACTGAGGATGGCCGGGAGGCCGCAAGCGCTCTGCTAAGATTATTAAATATATTTACTCGAAGTACTAGTTTAATTTTCCTGAACCTGAAATTTTGTATGTTACACCGGAAGCTCAAATTGGGGTTACGTAATTATTTTTGTACTACCTACTTTTTTTTATCGCAATGGTACAATCCACTGAATTTACCTCACAATCAGGTTGTATCAGAGTCTTGATCGCTTGTAGGCACAGCTTGAATATGCAACACCCATGTACGGGTGTTTGCGCTTTATGAAACAATCCACATTGTGAATTGCTAAATTAATTTGAGAATTTCATACATCTGTCAAAACTGCTATTCCAACAATAAACTGACATGTTTTGATTGTTGATTTTAACCAATCAGATTGGAATTACGCGATAATTTGCACTAGTGCAAATTATCAGATAATTGCATAGTAACTGGTGCGAAAACTGGTGTTTCGACATTTTTTGACAAAAAATTTAATTTTTTGATTTATGAAATTCTCTCATTAAATACAACTCGTGCAATGGAAATATATTTATAATTTTCGACAAATTTGCACTCATGCGTTTTTAACTGAAAAAGGCCAGTGGCGGCTCGTGGTATAACATATTGGGGGTGCACATAATTTGTAATTTATAATAAATGCCGAAAGGGGGATGCCCGCCACGCCCAGAAGTGTTTATTTTAGGCCTTTAAAAAAATAATTTATTGTAAGTGATCGTATGAGTTATGTGATGTGTTTACCTACCAATAGTTAAAAATATTGTTAAGGGATTTCATATCTACCCTACCAAACAACCAACTAAGCTCAATTTAATACTTTTTTCGGTCTATCAAATCGTGGAAATTGAAGGATCTTATATCAATAAACTAGAAATTAAGTAACAAAGTAACTTACCTCACTGAGTACATCGTCCTGGTCTAACAATTGTTTTTATACATAAATGTATTATAGTTTTCCATCTCACAGACACGTTTTGTATTGAAAGATAAGAGTAAGATGTGATTTTGAGTTTTGATGTTTTTTAATTTTTTCGGATAAATGTACTAAATCTTTAACGCCGGATTTTGTCCATTCTGATGCTTCATCGCTTCCAAATAACAAACAGGGAACACAGTAAAGACTATTACTAACATCACAACCGCACAACCAGTCAGTTTTTTCGTAAGTTTCCATTTTAAAAGTTCGTTTATAATCACGACTTTTGCATTTTGTTATGTTGGTGATTATTAAATTTGGCTTTGGACGGCCGACACATTTGATTTGGATTTTTTCCTCCAAAGAAAGCGAAGAAAATTTAATTGTTTTCAAATATTGCACGCTAAGGCTATCGGGGTTCAGAAATCCCGCCATTCTACACACAGTTTTCAGTTAAATCGCGCTCGAAATCGAAATAAATATAAATCAAGCGCTTCCGATCCCAAAGTGCACTGACTACATGTGCACACCAGCCAGCTTAAAACATCGAACGTCGCTAGACCTTCGCGGGGAACAAAGAGTGCGGGGGGGCATAGTTCCACCAATTGGATTTAATATTGAAATGTGCAGTGAACGGGGCGTTCAGGCGACGCGGTGGACGCTGTGATTCCAGCGTTGCCGGTTGCGTTTGTTTTGCTGGCGCATTTGGCCACTAATTTTTTAAATTAATACTTTACAGGTAGAATGTTAAAATTTGAAGAATGATAAAATTAAATTCAAAGTTGTTTGATAATAGGCCTGTTCGCACAGCAATCACAAACCAGTCAGAGCGAATTTCATTGGTTGGAAACAGTCAGAAACAGTCAGAAAACTAGTTTCAACCAATGAAATTCGCTCTGACTGGTTGGTGATTTCTGTGCGAACAGGCCTATTAATTTGGGAGTGCACGTGCACATGTGCTCTTATGGAGGAACCGCCACTGAAAAAGGCACTCGTGCACTACGTGCACTCGTGCTCTTTTTCAACTAAAAATGCATTCGGGCAAATTTCCCGAAAATGATCAGTAATTTCCATTGCACTTGTTATATTACTATTGAAAATTCCGCAGTTGGGTGAAAATGCATACCGAGATACATACATAGGAAAAAAATAGATTTACGGTTCACTAAGAGACTTTATTTCATTGATAATATCATAACTATACTCTACATTAATATTAATTGCATAATTGCGTAATACTAAACTAATAATAATTTACAAATAAAACTATCTCCGGGCTTCAAAGTTATATCTTCATTGAAAATTTTGTCCCTGGAAATAAAAAAAATCTCTAATTAGGTATTTAAAATTGACATACCTACTCACTTATTATTACCTACTTATTGTTTACCATAAGTAGGTATAGGTATAAATATAAATATAAATAATAAAATATTTCATTAAATTAAACATTAGCCATTCGTCATTCCTGATAATATATCCCCGCCTAATGTCAATTCTACTATTTTTTGATCGTTTGATAGAAATCCGTGTTAAATTTTCAAATAAAACAAAATGTTTATAATTTCCACAAATTTCTATTAGTCCGTGATATGTTCCGTGCATACATTGCGTTCTTCAGATTGTATAATATTATTATGTATTGCGCAAAATAATAATCAAAAATTTGTACCATACTCATGCTTCAATAGACACGTCCTTTTAATTATAGTGGCTAGTGAATAACATGAAGGGCTTCAATGATTTTTTTTCTAACAGAATCGTTTTCCTCTGTTTCAGTTTAAGTTTTCCTTACCCCGGTAAATATTCTGCATCAACACTGCTAACCAAAACCAAACAAGCTTCATCAGTCACATCTTGAATTGGCATAGTTTTCACATCCTCCCCCATATTGAATAGAAAAAAATATTCATTATCTCCGCCTTCAGAACTTCGCCTAAGTTGTAATATATCAGCGTCAGATTGATATACTGTCAGTGTGTTAGCGGAACGCAAAAGTGATTTTATTTTTATTAGTTGCTGGTAGACTTTATAATGACTTCTGCTCATTTCGCGTTGATTTTCCAGGTTTGTGTATTTGTATTTTTTGCTGACCGGTAACCATGTTGGTGCGCCCTCATTGAAACCAGCATTTATGGAATCGTCCCACTAAAAATACCGTAAGCATTCGCGAAAAAATCCAGAATTATTTTCAAGGAGAAATTCTTGCCTGATATGGAGTTCTTTCAAAATCTCTGCTAGTCTGATTAAAAGTGGTACAATTATTAACTGCACTAGGATCTTGACCTTGTTCACAAGTAACTTCTCCATCTTCCTGTCCAAATTCTTCTCCCATATAAGTTATACTTATACCAGGCAAAAACATTACCATCATATTGTAACCGTCGATATTTCTTGGGCTTACACGAGAAGCCACTCGGTGATTATCGTGATTGCCAGTCTAGAATTTTCAAATGCAATTTTTAATATTTTTAAACCAAATAAAATTTCACTTACTAGCCAGTTGAGGGTATAAATGGAAGGTAGCGAACTTTGCCACGCATCCACAGTATATTTGATATCCATAGGTCTGTTATAGTCCGTTAAACCAATTAGATAGAAATTGAATGAGAAATGTGCTCCTAATTGGGATCCATCTGCTGTCCCATAGTATCGTGCTACTTTATCAATATTTGTGGCTGCTTCTGTCATGAATATTCTGGAAAACGGTTATTCTTTATCAAAAAGTTAACGTTCGATTAAGAAGTACGTGCTAGGAACACGAATGAAAGTAGAACATCATCAGAATAGGTTAATCAAGTAAAATGTAACTTTCAAAAAATAATTAGGTGCATAACAAATTAAGCCAGTCTGTGAAATCAGATAATTTGATGCAGAATAACACAAAAAAGGAGCTTTCGGTTCTCAAACTTCATAGATGACTGAGATGAAGTTCTTAAGTTGCATCAAGTTTTCATGAAGTACCATGCTCCCGGATTTTCAATGTAGCCGATTGTCGCCCTTTCCTATCCGTTTCTACGATTGAAAAAAGTGCCGAATCTTGACGACCATTCCACCCAATTCAGCAGAAATATATATATATATATATATATATTTTTTTCCAAAAATTAAACCTCACAATTAGGGTTAACAACATATTATCGCTCGTTCTATGTTTGAGTTTTTCTTCCGATTCCTTCCCACTAGAGAAATTTGACTTCAAAAAGGAACAATTGATTTGATAATAAATTTAGTTACAAAAAATGCATTAACATTTTTTAAATCCCTTATTTTTCGGAATAAAATTGCCTTTGGTATTTAATTATTACACAACATTTATCGAAAAACAATAATAAATGGAAAAATTCCTGAATATTTTTACGTTTCAACTGATGAATATCAGAAGAAAATAGGTACTTATTGATGCAACAGCTTTATTTTTGAACTGCAACAATGGTTTTATCAAAAAAAATCTTTACCAGATTTTATGTTGAAGTATCCACATATTTTTTTTTAAATATTTCATCGCAGCGTATGAATATGTACCTACTAATTAAAATGTGTATTTATTTCAGGTATTTGAACCTTTATGAGTTGACAACATTGCACCTACAGCTTTTGCCAGTAGTGACATCAAAAAAATCTCGAACTCTCTCTTGTGAAGGAGAGATGATAAATTATGTATATGCTTTTCACTTATTATTGGCGTAGCATTATCCATGGAAATTTGGCAGGTTGACCCTCGTATAATAATGACAGTATGTGTCAAATTCCAGACAGTTTTAAGTGTGGTTTACATAATTTCGTAAGTGCCGCGGTATTAAAATTTTCTGGCCTATCTGGCAAATCAAATTTTACACATTTTTCAATAATGCTATATTATAAACGGTACCTAACCATTTTGCGTACCTGCAAAATCTATTGATATTTTTTAAAATTCGGCCTTGTCAAATTTCTTTCGTATTGAAGATGCCGAAAATAATAGTCCTTGGCCCTAAATCTAAATTTATTATTTATGACCACACCGTCGAAACTTTTTGTATTTGTTATTTGGGTGGAGTCGGACAAATTTGGAGCATAGCAGATTATGGTAGTGGGGCGTTTGTCTGTTAAGCTGTCACGAAGTTGTCGATTTTATGCAAGAAAAACACATTGGTGATTTTATTTAAATCAATAGTTTTTATCACATAAACAACGAAAAAAAATGTGTCAGAGAAAAATATTGGGGCATTCGACGCGTCGGACACGCTAAATATGTCAAATTTATGGGGAAAAAAAAATGTATTACCACACGGCTGATTTGAACAGAATCTGCCATAAAAATATTTTACAATAATGTGGTAACCTTGTCGGACAATTTTCACGGGGCATATGCGCAGTCGGATGCGTCAAATATGTCAATTTCCTGCAACACTTTTATTTACAACCACAGATGCAATTTTTATTTTTCACTGTTTCTTTACATGTGTAAAGCATATTGGATCAATTGTCGGACAAAAATAATGGGGCTTTTTGATACAATTAAAAAAAAAAGTAATTTTTGTAATTTTCTACTTCATATTACACATATAATTATACAAACGTTTACTGATGTATGTATTGCATATACAGTGCGACCGTAAAGTAAGGAATACATTCAATAATTATTCTTCTAGGCAATTTTTTCAAAAATCCTCGAATACGCCAATTTTATTTTTTGTCGGGCATTTTTGAGAAAATAAAATTATTATACAGGGTGGTCGCAGAAAAGCTGGACAGGTAGTAACTTAATTTTTTTAAATGGCGACACCTAATTTTTTTTTACATTTTCGGATATCTGATCAAATTCTTAGTATTTTTCATGGAACATGTCCTATACCTAAATTGATCTGTTTCGGAAATATTGACAGTTGACAACTGACTTTTTTGCAACTTTGAGAGGCTGAAAAACCTAAACGGTTGATTTTAGAGGAAAACCGATTTTACATTCCTATCTTAGATTTCCATAAGCTATCATTTGACACCAACCTTGAATTGATTCCATGACTTAAAATTCCGATTAAATTTAATCTCCGATTAAATTAAAAGTTGGTGTCAAATGATAGCTTATGAAAATCTAAGACAGGAATGTAAAATCGGTTTTCCTCTAAAATTAACCGTTTAGGTTTTACAGCCTCTCAAAGTTGCAAAAAAGTCAATTGTCAACTGTCAATATTTCCGAAACAGTTGAATTTAGGTATAGGACAGGTTTCTTGAAAAATACTTAGATTTGTATCAGAAATCCGAAAATGTAAAAAAATAGGGGTGTTCATTTAAAAAAATTAAGTTACTACCTGTCCAGCTTTTCTGGGACCACCCTGTATAATAATTTTATTTTTTAAAAAATGCTCGACAAAAAATAAAATTGATGTGTGCGAGGATTTTTGAAAAAATTGCCTAGAAGAATAATTATTGAATTTATTCTTTACTTTACGGCCGCACTGTATATATGTATTTATATAATTTATAGTAGGTATATATACAGGGTGTCCCACGACGTTTTTCACAGGTAATAACTTCGGAACACGTTATCCAATATAATTGAAATTTTGAGAATCTGGGTAACTTTTTGTGCCGCTTTTACCAATGTCATCCAATTTCACCACTTTACACACTTTACATTCAATTTCGATCAAGTGACGTCAACTTTCGAATCTTAAATGTAACTCATGATATAATATGGCACTTTTCGTTAGAAAATTAAATTACAAAATCGGCAATGCCATATTTGTTAAGGCTTTGTTAAAGAAAATGATAAAAAATTATACAGTGGAACATATGAGGATGCGTTCTGGAGTTATCATTCGGGAAAAACCTCGTGAGACACCCAATATATATGCACACACACATACCCAAACACCTATACAGGGTGTCCACTTAGTGCGATATAGGACGATATCTCCTTACAGGTTGATGCAAGAAAAAAAAAATTAAATTACAAATTTGTTTGATACTCTAATATGCATTAGTTAAAAATATTTTTGAGAATTTCATACATACATCTGTCAAAACTGGTATTCCAACAATGAACTGACATGTTTTGATTGTTGATTTGAACCACTAGTGCAAATTATCAGATAATTGCATAGTAACTGGTGCAAAAACTGGAGTTTTGACATTTTTTGACAAAAAAATTTAAATTTTTGATTTATGAAATTCTCTCATTAAATACAACTCGTGCAACGGAAATATATTTATAATTTTCGACAAATTTGCATTCGGGCAAATTTCCCAAAAATTATCAATAATTTCCATTGCACTATATAGTTATATTACTATTGAATATACAGTATAATTATAATATAAATTCAATTTTATTTGAATTTATAAAAATACGTTTAAATTTATTGGTAACAAATACAAAAAGTTTCGACGGTGTGGTCATAAATAATAAATTTTATTTTCAACCGTATATGCAATGTTACGAAGGCGTCCTGGTGTCAATGAAATTATTATTAAATTATTATTATTTCCTACATATCGGAAAAACATTCGATATATAGACAAAAAAATCCGATATATAGGAAAAAAATCCTATACCGGGTGACAATGAAACTACTACCCATGCCGGTATTTCTTAACGGATCGAGATAGAAATATGCAACTCGGTGTGTTGATAGGGTTGAAAATTGTGAACAATTTTGATATAAAAACAATTGAATGTCTTTTCGGGTTTCACCGGAAAAGGCATTTACTTTGTTATTTTAAATGGGACACCCTGTATATTATCAGTTTTTTGGACTCTCTGAACAATTCTAAATAACTTTTGTCTAACATACCCTATGTCAAAAATTGATAGTTTTCAAAATAGGGTGGCCCAAAAATATGTCGTAATTCCTATTTGTTTGTATTTTACGTAAAAACTGAATATGCCAGAATAAAAAAAATCATGGTTATTTGCTCCTTAGTCGAACGGGTATCCGTTAAATGCTAAAAGAGAAGAATTAATGCAAGTTAAGAAAAACGCGTTTTTCGAAAATGAATGTTTCAGTTTTTGATCGGACCCTGTACGAAAATAGTTCAACTTATGGAAATGAAACTTCCACTACCCAATCCTACTTTTTTATCCTTTATCCAAATATGACAAATTTAACTTTCATAGACACTTGCAAAATTGAAAATTTGATAATCCATTTTCAAGTTGTTGGTTCTTTCGTTTTTTCAATACTAATTACATACCTACACCATTGTAATAAAATTCATTTGTTTTCACCCTATCATACTTCATGTATTTTTCAAAAATTCAAATGAGACAAAAAAGGGTTAACTATTTGGACAGTACAATATTTTGAATCCATACCCAACTTTGCACGTGGTATACGTAATTAAATGAGTAAAAGCTCAGGTAAAAGTAATATTGGTTTTGGCACTAACAACTTGAAAGTAGGTTATCAAGTTTTTAATCTTGCAGGTGTCTATGAAGGTTGAATTTGTCATATTTGGATAAAGGATAAAAAAGTAGGATTGGGTAGTGGAAGTTTCATTTCCATAAGTTGAACCATTTTCGTACAGGGTCCGATCAAAAACTAAAACATTAATTTTCGAAAACCGCGTTTTTCTTAACTTGCATTAATTCTTCTCTTTTATCATTTAACGGATACCCCTTTCGACTAAGGAGCAAATAACCATGATTTTTTTTGTTCTGGCATATTCAGTTTTTACCTAAAATACAAACCAATAGGAATTACGACATATTTTTGA